AGGGACAGGGAGTTACTGTTTAATGAATACAGAGTTTCTATTGGGGATTATGAAAAGGTTCTAGAAATGGACAATGGTGATGATTGCATAACATTGAGAATGTACTTAATGCCACTGACTTGTACACTGAAAAATGGTTGAAATGGTAAATTTTATGTTGTGTATTTTACCAGAATTTTTAAAAAGGATAAAATGACACATGCCACAACATAGATAAGCCTCAAACACTATGCTAAGTGAAAGAAGCCAATCACAAAAGATCTCAAATGGTATGATTCCATTTATATGAAATGTCCAGAATAGACAAATCCATACAGAGAGAAAGCAGATTAGCTTTCCAGGAACTCTGGAGAGAGGGGGTTTAAGGGGTGATGCTAATGAGTATGGGGTTTCCTTTTGGGATGATGAAAATATTCTGAAAGTGAATAGTGGTGATGGTGGTACAACTCTGTGAATATTCTAAAAACCACTGAACTTTAGATGGATGAATTGTATGGTATTCAAATTACATTTCAATAAAGTTATTACTGTAAAATGTAGTAGAAGTAATTGCCAGTCTAATGTTAAAATTTTACATTATTTGCATGAATTTTACCATTTAAATTGTGCAATTCTAGCCTTAAATGCAAATATATGGGCATTTAACTCATATGCAGAATCACTAGTGTTTTGTTTTGAGTACATGCTTAGATATTTTGTTCTTATTAGAATAGTGGAAATGTTTTTATTTTGCACAAAACTGTTTAAATTTTATTTCTTGATATGTACACACTTCACCAACAAGCTACTGCTGAGTAAGCAAGAACTGAAAGGACAAGGAACCATGGGTTGCCCTATCTTTCCCTTTCCTCTTATATCATCATTTTCAGTGTAAGTGGTTGGCAAATACAGGGAAGTAACCAAGAAAGAAAAGACATGATCAAGTTCCTTGGTCATTTGTGTTTCTTAGAATGCCACTGCCTTCTTTCTATATTAGAAGCAAATCTGTTTCAAATGGGAAGCTTGGCTTCCTTGGGGCTTCCAGCTCCCCATCTTACTCAGTTGAAGATATTTTGATAGGGAACCTGAGTACTGAACTACAGTGTACTCATGATGCACGGGAGTCCAGCAAGAATCAAACTGATTACAAATTGTGTTAAGAAGCCGCACAGTGATTGCAAATGCTATATGAAATAGGGCAGCAAGATGTGGTGGACCCATGCATGGCTATATCTCTTCTGTTCACATACAAACTCCAGTGTCTTACTGGACTTCCATACGAAACAACTTTAAAGATAAAATCATTAGAAATTTGAAAATGGTGATAGTAGAGTTTAGTGCCAGGCTCTTCTGCAGGGAGGAGCGCCTTTGTGAAGCTATACTTGTTCCCTGCTCATGAAGTAGGACCTGTTAGTATATGAGTGTTGGTATCTCATTATGGTTTTTATATTCATTTCCCTGATATCCAACTAATGATATTAAGCACCCTTTCATGTGCTTAGTGGGCATTTTGTATAGCTTCCTCTGTGAAGTCACTGTCACTTTGCCCATTTTTTGCTGGGTTCTTTGTTTTTCAAATTACTGACTTGTAGGAATTGTTTCTACATTCTAGGTATATGTCCTACGTCAAATATATGTATTGCAATTATTTCCTTTTTCTTGGCTCCCCTATTCACTTTTTAAATGGCCCCCTGATGTGTATAACTTCTTACTTTTGATGAGATCCACTTCATCAATTATTTTCTGTTAATTGCTTTCTGCGTTCTGTCTAAGAAATCTTTGCCTACCCTAAGGTCATGAAGATTTCTCATGCTTTCTTCTACTAGTTATATAGTTTTAGTTTTTACATTTAGGTTTATAATCCATCTTTAATTATTGTGTACAGTTGTGAGGTATGAGCCAGTATTATTATTTTTTCCATATATAGCTAGGTGTTCCACCATCATTTGTTGAAAAAAACTTTCCTTTCTCATGTTTTTGCTCTGATGCTGTGGTCAAAAATCAACTGAGCATGTTAGCGTGGGTCTATTTCTGCATTCTCTTGTAGGGAGAAGCAATATGCTATGTGCCCTGAGCATTGCTGCACATTCTTGCTGTTATGCCAAGAATGCAAGGCCCTGACTTCTCTTTGCCCACTCTATATCCTGGTTAGTTATAAATCTGGCCCAATCAGCATTATCCTGAAACCAAAATCAGACAAAAGATATTACAAGAAAATTATAGACCAATATCTCTTGTGAACATAGAGGCAAAAATCCTCAACAAAATATTAGCAAATCAAGTCCAACGATGGATAAAAAGAATTATACACCATAGTCAGGTGGGATTTATGCTAGGTATGCAAAGCTGGTTCAACATTTGAAAATCAATTCATGTAATCCATAATATCAACAGACTACAGAAGAAAAATCACATCATACCAATCGATGTAGAAAAAGCATTTGATAAAATTCAACACCCATTCATTATTCTTAAAAACTCTTAGTAGATTAGGAATCCAGAGGAACTCCTTCAACTTAAAAAAGAACTTCTACAAAAAAACCCTGCAGATAACATCACACTTCATGGTGAGAAACTTGAAACTTTCCTATTAAGATCAGGAACAAGACAAGATCAAGATGTTCATTCTCACCATTGCTTTTCAACATCATACTGGAAGGAAGTCCTAGCTAATGTAATAAGACAATAAAAGGAAATAAATCTGGTCCAATACAAATTCATGTTTTAGCACAACTGAGAGCAAAGGTTAAAGCAGTGCATTTGCACATTAAATTTCTCTTTTTTTATTTATAAAAGCAAAATGGGAAATGTCATTTGATATAATTTCTTAATTCCTAAAACGTGTACAATGCAATCTTAACTAAGTAACTCCTTGACACTGATAAGTTAAACAGGTGAAAATTAACTTGAAAAAATATTGTTTACCTGATTGAAGTTGTTCAAGTTTATCTTTTTTGTGTGAAGCCAAGTCTCCTATAAAGCAGATACCACCTTTAGCTAGCAAAGCACTGCCAGCTTGAATGCTAACTGCTCCAGTTCCATACTTATTCCTGGATAGAGTAGGAAAAATTTCAGTAGAGACTGGATGACGTACACCACGGGGTACAAGGTTTATACTAAAATTCAAAAGCCTAGGGAAAAAATAAATTATTCATTACTATTATCTACTATTACATTATTTAATATTTGACTTTCAGAAGTCATAACATATAATAGCTACACAATTAAATTTCATTTGATTCAATGTTTATTGAGCACCGATGCTAGGAATAAAAACATACATAAGATTTGGTCCTTAACTTGGAAAGTTCACAGCCTAGAGAGATGTAAACAAAAAACTAAAACACAATGTGATAAGTACTAAAATAATGTCATGAGAACATTCATAAAAGAGTATTATCTCTTCCTAGAAGGAAGTCAGATAAAGCTATAGAGAGATGACATTTGAACTGGGACTTCCCTTTTTTATGAATTGCTTTCTTTTGCACATTCAAAATTTTTGCATTTAGGCTCGCCAATAGTTCAACATGACTAACCCTGCTGCCTATGTGTCACGATAATTCTTGATACATTCCTTTTGCTTTTTAATCTCTTTGCCAATTACCTCAGTCTCTTCATTTCTCAAATTAAAATTATAAGAAAGGAATATGCTTAGCTTAGCTTAGCTTTCAAATCCTTGCCACAAAAATCATAGCTTGCTTGTGCAATCTACTATGATGAGCAGACATAGACATGCAGTGCAAAAGAGGGTGAAGCAGTATCCCTTAAATGTGGATAGGTAGATGCTATAAAATGTCTAGTGTATGTGTCATTCCAAGGAATTTAGGTGTTAATTTGAAGATATATAAAATGGGGGAGTAAGATTTAGAAAGAATCTTTTGCAAGTTTATAGAGCAGTGGTTTCTCAGCCTTAGCTCACTTTAAAATCACCTGGGGAGCCAAGAGGCACAAGAAAAGATGGGCACCATCACTAACCATGAGGGGAATGCAAATCAAAACCACAATGAGATATCACATCACACCTGTCAGAATGGTAGTTATCAAAAAGACAAAAAAAAAGTGTTGGTGAGAATGTGGCGAAAAGGGACCCCTCATGCACTGTTGGTGGGAATGTAAATTGTTATAGCCACTAACTATAGAAAACAGTATGGAGGTTCCTGAAAAAATCAGAAATACAGTTACCATAGGATCCAGCAATTCTACTTCTGGGCATTAATCTGAAGAAAACAAAAACACTAAGCTGAAAAGATATATGCACCCCTATGTTCACTGCAGCATTATTTATAACAGCCAAGACAAGAAACAATGTAAGTGTCCATCAATAGATGAATAGATAAATAAGATATGTTACATATATAATGGAATATTATTCAGCCATAAAAAGAATGAAATCCTGATATCTGTAACAACATGGATGTATCTAGAGGGTATTATGCTGAGTAAAATAGGTCAAAGTCAATTATTGTATGATTTCACTTATACATAGAAATAGGTCAAAACTTTGAGTCGTTAGATTCTCAAAATGTTGAAAGCAAATATCCCATTTCTCAATTCATGTTTTAAAGTTTTGAACTTCACTGATAAAAGTTTATTTAAATATTTATACTGTTCAGATAAATTCCAAATATTTGTCTTTTAATAATGATCATGTAAAGGATTTATGTAAATCTGTGACCAATTCGTAATGTCATGTATTTTACCTTTCTACAAGTAGAGTATCACTTGTTATAATTAAAATATCCAGGCAATCTTCCAGTTCCTTGTTGCGGTCACTTGTCTGTACTAGACTCATCAGCAAACAGAGCTTGAGCAAACTGTAAGTCCCAGGAGGAACAATTTGTGATGCAAAGATATTTGCAAGAATTGCTGTAAACTTCCAGCATGAGCCGGAAGTCAAAGAGAGGAGACACCTCAAATTGTCACTAATTCCTGAAGGAACTGAAAGTAAATATTAACATATATATATAGTTTTAAAACAAGAAAATGAATATGAAAACAAATATATGTATGTATTTGCATGACTGGGACATTGTGGTGTACACCAGAGGTTGACACATTATAACTGATTGTACTTAAATTAAAATTAAAAAAAATTTTTTTTAAAGTACATGATATTATAGACATCTAATTCCATTTATCTAAAATATTACCAAATTGCAGTTATTTTAATGAAGTCACATTCAAATTCTTATGTCATTAAATTATGGAGGTTACTCTGGTCTATCATTTCTATCCCAGGGAATGTAATAAAAGGAAGCAGCCACCCTGTGTGCCCACATAGATTGGCTGTAGGTTGCAAGCAAATACCTCATTCTTTCTTTTTTAGACCTATGTGAGCAAAGCCAGATCATGGGGCTCCTATATTGCAGTGTTTGCTTCTAAATTTCTGTTTGAAACAGTATCACCTTTCATGAGAGCTGAAAAGCAGAATGGGAAATACCTGAATGTTGCTAAAGGGGAAGATTTATACTCTATTCTTTAAAAGCACTGTACTGCACTGTACTGTTACAGTACAGATCTTCTCCACTTCCTCACTCTGTCCAACTCCTGAAAGGGATGAGCGATTTAATCCAACTGGTCAGTTTAGGAGGAATAGCTGTGCATATATAATCCAGTCCTCTTCTCCTTCCTCTTGGGCTGTCATCATAGGGCAATAATTTCCTCTACTTATCCCTCCCCGTGGACCAAGGGAGGCCTACTTTAGTGTAGCTCTTGCCACATTTGGGTGGTTGAATCTGCCTAATTCTGGAGTTCAGCATGAGAAAGCATACTTCTCCACCTACAGATAAGTCATGTTCTGCTACCAGATCAGTAAATCTTGCAACACTTCATAGCAGAAAATATTTAAAAGATCTTTAAAATGTCCATTGTCCATTAGTGCTTTCTTATTTCAATATTTTTATTCTTTTAAGAAACTTTCCTCTTCAAAATAAGCAGAGGTATCTAGAATCCACTTGCATTTAAATTCATCTTGGGTCTCTGTTATTGCAGATGGTTATCTAGGGATTCAAAAAAAAAAAAAACCTAACTCTATTATTCAAGATTGAACTAGCCTTTCCCACATTTAGATATTTGTGTGCCAAGTTAAAAGAGAAGGTCTGGTCTTCACTTTTGTTTACTTAATGCTTAATTATGTTGGAATTGTGAAGGAAATTATTAGTAATAAAGGTGGTATTTTGGCCCCAACTGCCTTTCTCTTTTGTCTTATTTCTCATTTGGTCAAAACTCAGATGAAGAAAAGGATGTTATTTTGTTGGGCTCTTTTTCTCAGACCACAACAGTTACTTAGCATTGCCTTAGCTAGAAAACAAAAGGGTTGGGTAGAAAAATCTTTAGACTAATCTCTAACTTTTGGCATCGTGAAACATTTTTCTCATTGGTAATTCTCATTGGTTAAAAAAAAAAACTAAATAAGGTTTAGCCAAAAGAAAGGGGTCCTTCCTGGGGGTGAGGTTCCACATTATCCCACTTTATTTCCTTTGTAGTATTTATCATCTGAAATTGTCTTATTAATTAGTTTACAGATTTACTGACTGTCTCCATATGATTTAAGGCGTAGGAACTTTGTCCTGATCACGACTGTACCCCCTAGTGCTTAGTGCTTAGTTCTGAACACATAGGCAGCTAATACTTCCTGAACAAATGGATTTAAATTTAAATATTTGTTAATATATGATACTAGCACTTTCCTTACCTTTTGGATTACAAGAAGTGATACTATTTGCCTCTATACAGACAGCAGTTTGTGATGTTTTTACACAGGTTGGAATGCCAATAATTTTATACTCATTTCCTATATTCATTTTATTCACTGATTCATCTAAAATTATTAAACACAAAAGAAAGTATGTATTTACTAAATGAAACTTGTACATGATCATATGGTTTAAAGATCTAAAACTAGTAGCAATTCAGTAGTTGAGTTAGTTGCTAAGTATTTGCTTTTTTATTAATATAATATGCATATAGAGTGACATTAATAATGTAAATTGAGGCAGTTTTATTGCTGATAACTTTGATACTTATAGGCAATGATGAATTAACTTCAAGAAGCATGTGACATAGCAACTAGATAGTCTCCAATAATATAGTCAAAAGGCAAAATAGGATCATTCTGTTTAAAATGAAACATCTTTCCATTAAATGACAAGAAATGTTAATAAAAATGTTCTTATAAGCAATAATTTTATTTGGGAATAAATTATTTTAAAAAGTATTATAATCACTGTTTATAATATATGTAAGTTACTTTTAAACACATTGTCTAATTGTAACCTGTAAGACAGATATTGTTATCTCCACTTTATATATGAAGAAACTGAAAGACTAAGTGATTTGCACAAGGCTAAATAGTAAATAGCATTAATGAAATTCCCATCTAAGTCTGCCTATCTTTAAAGACTCCCCACAGGATACTTTCCCAGGTTCCTCTCTCACATCTATAGACTGACCCAAGATTTGGCACAAGTTCAAATTTTATTTTAAAAAACATACACTAAAAATCTTGATCCTCCACTATACAGTTAGAATTTGGGTGGTTGTAAAGCTATGGGAAAACAGGTTTACAAGGAGGAGCAAGGATTAACTTTCCTCTGTGAAGAAGATCAAACAGTGATCTGTATTATTTTTTTTCTTCTATCACTCTCTCTTTTTTATCTCCACAGAGCACACTGGTGTACCCTGTGGACCTGGAAGGGAAGAATCAGGCCCAAGAATTGAGAAAATAAAAATCTAAAACCAACCAACAAACCAAACAAACAACTAAAAACAAAAGCAAAAAAAAACAAAACAAAACGACAACAAAAAAAAACCCTGAAGGATACAGAATGAATTACCAGGGGAAAATTGAAACAAATTACTTTTCAACTGTTCCTTGGAATCTCAGAGTTTTGTATTTGTGTTCTGAGGTTAAGAAATGGTCAAGAGGAAGGCTAGGAGGCTGGAAAGTATAAGTATCTCTTCTGATAACCCCAAAAGGCCTGCTTTTACTCATTTAATTTTTAAAAATGTATTCGGATTCTATTAAGAGTTTATTTGAAGAAAGGGCTTTCTATTAAAACATAAATTAGATGGCCACTTATTTCTATATTGTAGTGTATGGCTTGTATATAATAGAATTAAGTAGTTAAAATCAGTCTAGTGAAACTGGAATGCCTGAGTTTGAATCATGGCTGTACCATGCACTAGCTAGGTAACCTTGGACAAGTTATTTAACTTCTCTGTGCATCTGTTTCCACACTGTAAAATGGAGATAACAATAGAACCTACCTGAAAGAGTTGCTGTGACTAAATGAGTTAATACATGTAAAAGTGTCTGGCAAATAGTAATTGGTATATAAAAATTATCTATTATCATATAGGCTTACATGCCTGCCTCGTCCTTGTCAGGTCATGGTGAAAAGAGTTCTTGTTTGAGTCTCTGCTTTCCTAACTCTTGAGTTTCCTACACATAGTTGACAGCCGAGATCTCTCTTTCCAGTTTAATTCCTCCAATTTCAGCTCAGGAAAAGAAGCAGAACCCTATCCTCATTTTCACAGCTCTTGCTTCTCAACAAAGTCTCACTCTTCCCTGGATGATTGATACTGATAACATTTCCTCCTTTATGGTAGAATCTGTTTACTCACAAGTCTTTATCCATGAAGTTCTCAACAGTTAATCATAAGTCAATGCTCATTCATTTAACAAATATTTATTGAGTTTTTACCATGTGCAGTAAAAAACCCAAGTCCCTACACCCATGAAGTTTATATTTTAAAATAATAACTCTAATATTTATGTAACACACACATAGAATAATAGGAGATAATTACTGTGAATAACTGTGACCCTGAGACTTAGCATAGTGCTTGAGATAGATCAGGTGCTAATATCTTTTTAAGTGAATATTGCATGACTGAATGAATAATTGATACATTAGCTAAATATGACACTTTAAAACACTCAAGAAAAAGAAGACCTATGATTCTCAAGCTATAGAAGTACCATTTATAATATAGAAGCATAAACAAATCAATTACATAATTTATATATTTTAGGTCAAACAGAACTTACTCACCTCTGAGGAAGATTGTAAGAGATTGAAACCTAAATGGCTGGCTGTTAGAATATCCTTGAAAAGCATGAAGTGCCTTTGTGGTAATTATTTCAACTATCTGTTTATCTTAAGACAAAGAGCAAAAAAGAATTAGTTATTAAAATACATAATCAATTTAATTTCCACATTAAACTATCAGGCACTATTTTAAAAATTATAATTACAAAATGTAAATGCATTTTTACCACCAAGTACTCTAAATTTTCTGTCTTCTTGAAGTGAAGATGAACATAGATTACACAAAAAGTCATTTCTTACTGTTGCAGATTCTGTAGCACCAGGCACATGCACTCTTATATACTGAAATCCTGAAAGAAAACAGAGTTAAGCTAAACTTGCTTTTTGATTCAGCTCTCCATTTTCAATCCTTTAAAATGAATCTTATTCAAAGTATAATTAAAGTAGTTTTCATGTGGGTTCATAGCAATTCGATTTACATTTATTACAAGGCTATTTCTTGCCAGGCACTGTGCTAAAGCACTGGTGATACAGATACTTAAACTCACGATTTCAATAGGTGGCAATAAGAAGCAGATAATTTTAATATGTGGTATTCATTTCCCAAGTGTTCAGGGAGAAGAGGGGAGGGGCATCCAGCCCAATGAGAGGTGGGGATAAATTGGAAAGATGTCCTGGAGAATGACTGTATGGAAGTTAGGCCAAAGGGCTGAGAGAGGACATTACATAGAGAAGGAACAGCATGAACAGTCATGAAAAAATGTGTGAGATGAACAAGTAACTTCAGTAACACAAGAGTACTTGTTAAATTATAGAGGAGAGGTGAGGAAGAAAGAATGCATTTCAAGATTATGCCAAGTACACTTATAAATATCAGGAAACACCAAATTTTATTCCTTTCTACTCTATGAATGTTTCATAACTAATTGTAAGCATAATTTAAGATTAAATAATAAATTGTTTTGATTTTACATTTTAATATTCACCTTTTGAAAGAGGGCATGCTTCATCTGAACAAAGAAATCTTGCACCTTGTGTATACTTGGTTACAGTTGTCATTGCAATCACAATTCCTTGCATCATATAAAATCTTTGAGATGTATAATCAAGTGGAAAGTGACAAAGATCAAGACTATAACTTGGCAGAGGAGGTAAGTGTGTTAACTTCAGCACTATATTAATCTAATAGGAACACAAAAATGGTATTAACAAAAATTGTAGATCCAACTGTACTTGCATTATAATATACTAAGAATATAATAAATCAACTAAATGATTTGTTAGTAGTATTAGGAACCAAATTTTTAAGCATTAAGAAAAAGAGATTCAAATATAAAATTAAAGATGCAAGATCCTTATAATCTTGTATTTTAATTGAAAATATCATTATAAACATTATTTTCTTTAAAAAAATACACATTCCTTGGCTATATCCACTGAAAAGACTGATAAAACAATAACAACCCAATAGCAATGAACACTTCTAGTGCCCAGATTATGATCTCTGAATGTAATTTCTCACTAAGAGGAGCCAGGGCTCCTTAGAGGAAATGGCTGGTTCCAGGTCTGAGGCAAAAAATACATTAGATGAACCGGTGAGTCTCCTTGTGACAGAAACTAGAGGGGGGTTTTAAAAACTGACATGTGTCCAAAGGACATTAGGAACAAACTTTAAGGAGTTTCCAATGACCAAAGGTAGATAATACAAGCATCAGAAAGAATGACAAAGATTGATCAAAACATATTAAATACGTTTAAAAATTCATATAGTTCCTCAAAATTAAAAAAAAAGGAAAAACAAAACCAAAAAAATTACTAGTTATCATCAGAGGCTGATATATTTCATCTCATCATTCTGAAAATTTATAAATGGAAAGAATCAAACATTTATTCTGCCTTTCCTATACAAATTGTATCTCAGGGTAATCAAATAGTTGACAAGAGAAAACCTCTTTTAAAGGATAATTTCAACTAATAAATTTAGAAAGCTTGCTAAAATTAGAAAAATCACAAATTTTCTAACTCCTAATGAAATAATAGAATCTAAGGCAACGATCACCAATGGCTATAAAAACCACTAGGTGAAAGCTGATGGGAGACTGTATATTGGAGGCATCACACTGATATCATCCAAAGCCACTGATCATTTGTGCCACTGCTAAGGTGAGACACAGATAGGATAGTTCTCCTAACATAGTGCAGTATGAAGCACACGACACTATGATGTATGCTCATCAAAATTAGCTGAATTTGAATCCAAGCAAGTCTTTAGAGCCAACTTCTATTTTCCAGAAACAGAGGGTCTAGGGGAATAAGTTACATACTACAAGACATAATCAGACAAGTCCAGATTATGAGACATTTTACAGGTATTAACTAGTTTCTGTAAAAATTCAATGGCATAAAAAGGGAGGGGGAGGAAATGGCTCTAGACTGAAAGAGACATAGTGAGATGTAAGAACGAGTTATAATATGTACCCCTTGTTTTGATCCTGATTTGAACAAATCAACCATGAGACATTCCTGAGATCCCAACTGAGTAAATTTAAATATGGACTGAATTAGATAATACCAAGGAATTTTTTTCCTAGGGAGTAATAATTGTATTGTGGTTATACAATAAAAATGTCCACAATTTTTAGAGGTTGATACATAGTTGATACATATTGAATTATGAAGGGGTAAAATACAGAATATATTTTAAAGATGTGTTTTAAAACATTTCAGAAAAAACTGATGGTGGCAAAATATTGTAAACTACTAAATTTGAGCAATATATGGAGGTTCATTGTATTATTCTCTTTAGTTTGGGGTATGTTTGAAATGTTTTATTATAAAAATGTCCAATGTTGTAAGTGATAATACAGGAAGTAAAGATGTGTATGTAAGATAGTCCACTGAACTTTAAACAAATATTTTAATAAAAATATATATGAATATAAAAATATTCCTTTACAAATCATCTTGAAAGTATTATACCTTAGTTTTCTTTGTTAAATTTAACTAAAACTTACTTGATTTTCAGTCTGTAATTGTCCAATTAATGAGAGAGTCTTAACAGCAATAAAACATACCTATGAGTTCAAACAGAAAAACCAAAGAAGTTACCAAAAATTCCACGTGGCATAAAATTATTTCTTTTTTTAACTTACTGATTGAAAAACTTGGGCTGCTTTTAAAGGCTGGTGTAAAATGTGATTTCCAAGCTCAGCATCCAATTCAACAATATCAGAGGGATTTATTAAAATATTGAATCGATAGACAGCATAATTTTGTTTTGAATCTGTAAAAATACACAAATATAAAAATGAGGATAGTTACATGTAGGACTTTATTTTAAGGTTTCTAAAATAAGGTCACTTTTGCTGAACATACCATTGTAGGATTTGCAATCATCTATGAATTTCTGGAGGCTTCCACTTCTGTCAAGATAGATGAGGGCTGCCTCTTTCATTTTTAGATTTGACATTTTCTCCTAGTTATTGATTCTTCTCTGTTACTAATGGATTAAACCACAATTGCTGGTGAAGACTACAGAGAGTGAAACTCAGAAAAGATGAGAACACCTAGAAATAAAATAAAGTTTACATTTGAAGATCAATAATAAAACTTTAAACTATTAAATGTAAAATTGAGAATGAAATAAAATGAGGTAAAATTTCCAACTGAAAAAAATTCCTACGTGAACAAAACAAAACTTTGGTTTCTTCTGCCAAATAATACTTTTATTAACACTAGGTTATGAGATTCCCCCACAAGACTGCAAATTTAAGAACAGGAGCCTCAAATTTCTCTTTACAGAGTAGGTATACCAAAAAAATGCTTGCTGAAACACATAGTAGATGATGAGGTCCCCCTGCAGGCATTTAAAAAAAACAAAAGTGGTAAAAGCTCCTTCATAAGTTCAATTTAAGTAGCAAAGTGTGGCTAGCCTAAGAAATCTGAAAACCTGGTTCTAGATCCAGCGTTTTCTAGTTGCTGTGGGGAAATCACCTGGCTCAGTGTCTTCATCTGCAGGAAATTAAGGGGTTGTATTAGATGGTAAGGCCTCTTCTGGCTTTAAATCATCTATCAGTGACCAATATGAAACATTAAACCATAATAATGCGAGTGGAATATATAAAATTCATTTAAAGACAGCAAACACTAATTGGAAATAATATATACCAATAAATTGTATTAAGTGCTAGGCACAAAATGATTAAGACTGAATCCTACTTTCAATGAGTTGCCAATTTAGAGAAGTCAGAAATGATCATCACATTTATTAATTACTAAGCACTTATTGGGCATTTACTATTTTTTAGATATCAGACTGTCCTAGGCACTGGGGACACAAAGATCAGTAAAATATGGTCCCTACTGTTCAGAGAGTACAGTGAGGGTAAAATAGAAATGCAAAAAAATACAATTCTGTACAACTTACCTACTATTAAAGAGATAATATACTAGAGAGCACGGAAGGAACAGCATACACGAAACAGTTCACAAACTGGGGGTAATCCTCGTGCAGGGGTCATAATATTTTCCATTGTTTTAGAACATTTTGATTTAACAGAGAGTGGAGTCACAGAGAAGAAGCAATGAATTCTACTTTAAAGGTGACATTTGATAGTTAAGTAAGATTTCACTAATTGGAGGAGAGGTGAAGAGAGGAGGTTTTCCAAGGATAGACGTAATCCCCTTTCCCCCAATTTTTAGATCTATACTATTAAAACCTTGCTCCTTGAGTATACCCCTGCTACTTGGAGTTCAGGTTACTTTTCAAAGAAAAGTAATTCAGACTGTCCTTTAGAATATTACATGGGCCGGGTAGGGGGCGAGGGGCGGAATCTTCACAGTTTATTTCTCTGTGGCCCTAAGTACAATAACCTTAAAGTGTGTGCTGTGTTCAGAACGTTACATCTGTGCTTCATTAGAACATAAGTTTTGGGGGCCAAATGAAGGGAGGCTGCTAATAATGAGATGATTGTGTGTGGCTCAACCAGACTGAAAATTTTACAAGTTCATTATGATTATACAAACGGAAGCCATCAAAGATTTTAAGAGGGGAGGACTACGGTCAGATTTTTATTTTGGAAATCAGTACCGCCACTGTGGAAAATGGGTTGCAAGAGAGGAAGTGCGGATCATCAGTTTCTAGCTACTGAAACTGTTCTAGGAGCGGGAGGGCCCACTCTAGGCCATTAGGGATGAAATGGAATGGACCACGTGGATTCTAAACTTTTAAAGATTTCACACTGGATCCGGTAACCATGTTACCAGGTGTGGGTGGATGTAGCCGCTCTAATGGAAATACAGAAGCTCGGAGAAGAGTAGGGGGTAGGGAAAGTTCATTTGAGATATCCTGACTTTGATGGGCTCTTGGGACATCCGGATATAAGCACCAGGGCATCGCAAACCAAGGCCTGGCGATCTGTAACTTTAAAAAGCAAGAGACAAATAACGCTCTGGGTACCCCCTGTGTAAAGTGGAGGTTCTGGGAGTGGGTGCATTTTCAAGGAAGGGGAAACTGGAGGGGAAAACATGCACGCCTTTGGAAAAGCATTAAATATAAGCGAACCTGGATAAAATTCGACAGGTCTTCCCACAGCCTAAAGAACCCGCGTGTTTGTTCGCGTGGAACAGGCGCGGGCCGCGTCCTCTCTCCTGGCCGCGTCAGCAGGAACACTCCTCACAGCCAAAGTGGAAAAAGCGAACCCGGCCTCTCACTCCGGTCTCCAGCACCTGCGTCTCTCACCCACAGCGGCCACCTCCAGCCAGCACTGCGCACCCTAGCCCAGCGGTGTGTCACCCACTCTTACACCCACCGAGCCTCGCCAGTCGCGCGCCACCTCGCGCCCGGGCTCTCGCGCGCATGCGCGCACCTCACGGCCGTTGGCGGCGCGAAGGCTGCCGGGACCAGCCTTCCACTCATCAGGCAACGCTCCCGACCCGTCTCCCACCGTCTTTAATCACTCTTGCTCCCTCCTGCAAGGCAAAGCAAGGGAAAAATAGAAACCGCTGGATTTTGTTCTCTCTAGCCAAGGGTGTCCGTGTTTGTTTAAAAACCCTTACTAAAAACTCTCCTGGTGGGAATGCAAAATGATGTAGTCAATTTGGAAAACATTCTTGGACAAAGGACCAGAATTACTGTATGACCCAACAATTCTGTAATGTGGTACAATGGCTAAAATACTTGTTTTAAGCTGGTAGGGATATCATTTAACTTTTATTTTTGTCTTGTATGTAACTGACTTTATATTCCCTTAATATTTTTCACAGAGGTACAATTCATACAAAGCAAAATGCACAGCTCTTAAGTGTTAAAGTCATCAAAGTCTTGACAGAAAGCTTTGCTTTTGGTATCTAATTGAAGCGTATCACTAGGAAATATCTTACTAAAATAAATAAGTCTTAGTTTTCACCATATCATTAACAAAGTAAGCTGTAATTTTTGCATTATTACTATCATTGAGGCATAAGAGAAAAACTCAACACAGCAAGACTATCTATGTAAGCTACTATCCAGAAGGAACTGAAAAAAAAAATCCAACACACTGAGATGAGATTTTTCCATTTGAGTGGGTCTGTTTTTACTGTATATAAGCCTCCTAGATTCCATGAGTTAACTAGTGAGACATAAAGACATTTGAATATTGATAACTCATTGTAGACTTCCCCACAAAGATTTAACTAAAATTGAGTGGAAATCTCTGCTCCCTAATTAAGTGAAAATACTGAAATTTTATTAGAAAAAAAAAAGACCAATCTGAGACATATTCCTGTAAGAGAACTTACTTCTAAGTTACATTTGAACACAAGATTAGTAAAATCAACAAATGGGCCTGGTTCTTCCAGCAAGGGTTATACAGAGTGATATAATTCTGTTTTACACTATTCCCTTAAGATTCATATGGTGATCAATCATTTTCAGTACAATATATAAAAATAACTTATTTGTAGGATCCTTTAATTGGCTACCTCATTGCTATAAATGTCACTCTGAATTCATAATCTACAGGCTTTTTTCTTTGTGTAATATTGCTTTAAATTATTCTGTACTATCTTGATTTTGGCTAAATGATTAAAAAGTTACATTTTGAGACAGCTTTATTTTTTTCTGACTTAACTGCCTCTGTAAAAATGGGTATGATGGAAAAGAAAGTGTGATACAAGAAATACTTTTGTGTAGGGTATCTTTAACTATTACAGAATATGTTTTAAAGATTACCAATGGGTGATTATAAGATATTGCACCAAAAATGCTAAATAAGTGATATAAATCTCTGATTGGAATGCTCTCAGGGAAGTTACACAGTGACTGCTCTTAATTCTAGGTGAGTAAAGGAGAACAAGGGTGGCAGAGAAGGAACCAGTCTTTTTATGGCAGGGAATCCTTTTGAGCATCTAAACAAAGCTATATAGCACTCCCTGGCCCAAGTCGACTTCATTTATACACAAAACAGGGTGTATCATTTCAAGGTACTAAGTCACCTGAAACTCATCCATCTACACTTTAGGGTTTCATGTAAATGAACAATCTCCTTGGGATGTGGAATAATCTGTAAAAACCAACAAAAGTAAAAGCTGCCTTTAAAGATAAGTGGCAAGAAAACAGCAACTTTCACTACATGTATGAGGAAATCACTTATCAATTTTAACACACTTTATTGCAAATCATTCTGGCACTACCAAAAATGTTGCTACATACCTACTCACATTTTTCATACAGCATGTGATATACCAAAGAATGACTCATAAAATATCTGTGTAGAGGTTTATAATACTACACCTATGGATAATAACCATAAAAGTTATGGGTATGCTAAAAGATATTGGCAGTGCAGCCATTATGGAAACCAGTGTGGAGAGTCCTCAAAAAAGTAAAAATGGACTTACCATATAATCCAGCAACCCCACTCCTGGACATATATCCAGAGGGAACTTTAATTCAAAAAGATACATCCACCCCAGTGTTCACAGCAGCACTGTTTGCAATAGCCAACACATAGAAACATCCTAACATCCGACAGATAACTGGATAAAGAAGTTGTGGTATATTTATACAATGGAACACTACTCAACCATAAAAAAGAAGGAACTGAATAAGAAGTTGTGGATAAAGAAGTTGTGGTATATTTATACAATGGAACACTACTCAACCATAAAAAAGAATAAAATAATGCCATTTGCCGCAACATGGATGGACCTGGAGATTGTCATTCTAAGTGAAGTTAAGCCAGAAAGAGAAAGAAAAATTCCATATGATATCATTGATATGTAGAATCTAAAAAATAAAAGACAAATGAACTTATTTACAAAACAAACAGACTCACAGACATAGAAAACAAACTTAAGGTTACTGGGGGCAGAGAGGGGGAAAAGGGGTGGGGAAGAGACAAATTGGGAGTTTGAGATTTGCAGATACTAATATATATAAAATAGATAAACCACAAGTTCATACTGTATAGCACAAGGAACTATATTCAATATCTTGCAGTAACTGGTGAAAAAGAATATGAAAACAAATATATGTATGTTCATGTATGACTGAAGCATTATGCTGTACAACCAAGAAATTAACAA